GATATATTTCGCTATCACAACGATCGGAGTCAGAATAGCCGCACTTTAAATGTCCTTTAGATGCGCGCTTTAGATTTGCTTTTGCTTTTTGTCTACTTTTCCGGGCTCATGCCACATAACCAGCTGCTGAGAAGCATACCATATGGTTGTGGTAATCTGTCCCTTGTAACCGCTTAGACTCCATCATCTCTATGATTCACAATATCCAACATTACAAATCCCTGATGAAAGGGGCACATCCAGACCCCCAAAGCACGTTGGCTACCTTTGCAGGTTTTTAGTAGACTTTTTTCCACTGAAAATAAACACCTTTGCAATTTTATCCTTGGGTGTGGCACTCTGTGATATTCTTTTGGTTAAAGGAGAACTATGGCCAAATTTTTTGTTCATAGTTCTCTTTAGGATTACAGGGGGACATATACTACTGTATATACTACTGTATGTCCTCCTCTGACCCAAAACTCAGCATATAGCGGCCTTTTGCCCGCTATATGCTGACAGCGCAAAGCCGCGCTGCGGCCTAGCCTCTCTACAGCCAGAGCCAGTTGTGCCCACCCCCCACCTTGTCCATTCCTCCAGTCAGCACTAGAGAAATGGAGAGGGCAGGGGGGAATCCCTGCGGGGAGTGGTGACTGACACTCACCACTCTCTGCAGGGAGATTATCGGGAACTGAGTGATGGGCAGTATGTTATCGCTCACTTCTCAATCAATAGAGCCAACGTGTGACAGCTTCAGTGTCACACATAAGCTCTATGGGGATGAGTGTATTCCACTCTCCCCATAATTCTCCTTAATATAATGCTGATCTACTTCTGAAAATCCTAGTAGCCTGGCTGCCTTTGGTCTCAGACCTGGAACAAGCATGCACAAGTCAACTAAAACTGTCTATGTGCATACATATTCACTTTCTGATTTGCATACATGTACTGAAGTCTTTAAATCAACATTGTGATCAGGCAATTAGCTTTCTCAAAGGGACAGACCATCAATAGCAGCCTACACAAATTCTAACTACACGTTTTATTTGAAATTCACCAGAAGCCTTGTTGAAAACTATCAGGAATTTTTATGCAAATGTGGTTCTTGTAGCTGGAACATGGGTCCACCCTCTCCTTGTTGGTCCTTGGTCTCGCTAGCCAATAGGGCAAACATGGAGCTATGCTGGACATGAGTGGGTGGCATCGTACAGATGCTTCTTTTCCTGCTGCCTATTGGCTAAGTTTGGTGTGGACTATGTCACTTTCCATGGAACCTGATATCTTTTACAGATCAATAATATCAAACTCTTGTACTGTAATGAAAGACGCAATGTATGCAAATGACCGCATGTAAAATGCAAATCTGTTTTCTACATAAATACACTTTGTTCTTCTACCTGTTCCCAGGAGTCCAGCAGCATAACATCATCTTCTGCTAAATCATCCTGTGTGAATTCTCCAGGTACTTCCTCGATCTAGAAATGAACGGCCCAAGTTAGATAATGTTTTTTCAATTCCTGGTTAAAGTTCCAGCCAAAGCCTTTTACAGTAAACTCTCTGTTACCCGGTATTCAACTAACCAGAACTCTCATCTGACCAGAAAAAAAAATCCCCTGTGTACTCAACGTTCTGCTGATCTGCGGCACGTATTATCGTGGAAACGATCGTGTGTCTATTTGTCTTAATTTGCTTTTGATGACTGCATGTCAATATTAACATGAAGTCAATACAGAGTTTATGTTATGATATGGTATAGTATGGGGTATAGCAGTAGTTAGACCTATTTTTAATAGTAAATCTCAAGCAACCAGTAACGGGGAGTTTACTGTATTTGGTTTTGAATAAAGTGGGAATGGTTTACAGTCCCTGTCAAGCTTTTTTTTTATTGTTGGCTATTATCCTATAGGGGAAATCTCTCCAATGTTACCACAGACATAAACACATTTTTAGTAGAGTGAGGAACATTTAGAACTCAGTAAAAACTAGACATGTAAGCTGCGGAAAAATTCGGTTCGCTTCTGAAATTTAGTTTTTTCGGAATTTGTATCCGAAATTCAATTCGGTTCGGGTTTCGGATTGGGACGAAATCCAAATTTTCGTTAGTTTTGGATGAGTTCACGAATATTCGTTACTAATACAACAGAAAACGATATACAGATATTATTACTAAAGCTGAGGCTCCCAGACCCGAATGGCATTTGGGATCCAAATTTCAGAATTGAATTGCATTTGGGAGCTCCAGAATGCCATTTGGGTCTGAGAGCCTCAGCTTTAGTATTATATGTATATGGCTCCCAGACCCGAATGACATTCGGGAGCTACCCAATGCACTTCGGAAATTCGAATCACTAATGTCATTCGGGTCTGGGATCCATATAAATATAATACTAAAGCTGAGGCTCCCAGACCCAAATGGCATTCTTCAGGAGCTCCCAAATGCAATTTGGATCCCAAATGCCATTCGGGTCTAGGAGCCTCAGCTTTAGTATTATACGTATATACTGTATATGGCTCCCATGTTGCCGTAACGAAATTCGCGTTCAGACCCATTCGGATAAATTAAACCGAAAAACACATCTGATTGGCCAGAAAAGTCACATGTCCCATTCAGTTTTTTAACTAAATTCGGACAGGATCCGAAATTCGGAAACGGAAATACGGATTTGGACGCATTCGGATGCATTGGGATTCAGAAATGCGGATGTGCATGAATGTCCGAAAATCCGTTCAAATTTTGATTCGGAACTAAACGAATTGCACATGTCTAGTAAAAACAGCTCCCCACAATCGCCTCAATGAGGCCACAGACAGAAATTTTAACTCGGCCCCACTCTATCCAAAGCTATAAAAATGTAGCAAAGGTTTACTTTAAGACCGCCGACTTACCACAAATCTCCCACTCTTATTGGAGCAGCCAAATAGCCGAGGTGGGTGATCATCCAGCTGGGAGACCAACAGAGGTGAGGTCTGATATGCCTTTTTACCACCCAAGGCACTCATGAACTCGTCTGTCAAAAAAGGGTAGAAAGATGCAAAATTGTGTGTTATACTTTGAGGTAGAACTCCAACCGAAACATTTTATGAACACAGGGAAAGATAATTTTTTTAATGATGTTTCTTCCTCTGTTGGGAAGATTTACTCTCATTTCCTATGTGGTCACCTGGACAAGAAACAAAGGGACATCCTCCGAATGGCAATATATCCCAATACAACGTACAATTGTTATGGTAAGCTCAGAGTACCTGTCAGGGTTTACTGTTCTCCTCTGAGAATCCCAGCCAGGACTTCCAGAAGATCCGCTACTAATGGATCTCACAGAGTCCAGTATGGTTAGTAATAGTAGAAGATTCCAGACCAGGACTTCCAGTGTACCCTGAGGCTGAGCGTGTCCTGTCTGAGGGTATTTAAGCACTAGCTCTGCAAGGTGCTGGCGCCGTGTCTTTTTGCCAGCTTCCCGTTTGTGAAAGAGCTTATACTTCTGCTGTTTTCTCATTGCTGACCCGGACCTCCTGACCCTTCTTCGCTTGCTGCCCGTCCTGATCTTCTGCCTGGACCCGACTTTGCTCTTGTCTCCTGTGTTTATCCTCTGATTAATCGTTCCTGACCTGGGACCCCCTGACCACCCTCTGCTAGCCGCCTGCCTTGAACTCTGCCTGGATCTGACTAATGTCTCCTCATTGGGGCCCTCCTGTTCTTATTCATCCCTTGGCAGAGCAATCCTGGGGATCGCAACCTGGTACCAGCAAGCAGCAAGCAGCCAAGCCGATCTCCACCATCAGGAGCTCTGGTGAACACCGGCTGGTACTTAGACTCGTGTCACCTGCCAGGGGTGTCACCCTAACAACAATACTTCATCACTAACTGTTGACCTTGGATGCGTTCCCTAGAAGTTTTGGCCTGTACTTGTTTTTCTGGGAGGCATTTACAGATTTTGTCGTAGTTGGCAGGATAAACACCGGGTCAAAGGTTTCCGACGTCTTCTTTTTTTATATTGTGGCAAAATGCAACAACTACATCAGAGTTCACTTATATTTTGGGTCCCATTGTTGGGTGCTGCGGTGCTCATGACACTGATATTTTGTCATATACGTTTCTCCCATTCAATCCCATCTAAGGGTTCAGCTTTGCTCCCTGTGCATGGCAACCAATCAGCTTCTCTCTTTCATTTTCAAATCTTAACTGAACAAACTGAAGGGAGAAGCTGATTGGTTGCCATGCACAGCTGCTCCAGATTTTGTCTGCTCCAGTTTTGATCAATTCCTCCCTAACATGAGTGACATAACATTAACACAGGGAGTCCTAACAAGGAGCTCCACCCTACTACAGTTGCACCATATGGGCACTGATCAAGGTGAATATTTTGATCTCTTAGATACCGGTATGTTTAGTTTTTTTAAGCTTAGTTTGGGGTGCGAGCTAATGGCTGGTCGGAGGTAAAGTGGTACCGGGGGAACAGTTTTACATTTCCAGAGCAGGCATCTGGAAGGATCATTGCCCACAGGCTGTGACCTGTATTGAAGATCCTAGGTGTGATCCAGGCCCTGTGGGCTAAGCCCTCTGGGACTAAAAGTGAGAGCTACTGAATCTGATTTAACCCATGCAATTCCTGCTAAGGAAGTGAGAGCTGGGAATACCACAGGAACTTCCACCAACACCTCCCCAACCTGGTACAGAGAGGACATAGGAACCGCTATTGTAATGGAAGCTACTTCAGCCTGATGTGTGCATGGGAAGTCTAAGCATCCATCCAGAACTACTGCTACCTTTTTGGATATCCAACCCTCCACACCAAGATCCTATAATATAGCCTTTAAAAGACATCCAAGGACATGACTGCCATTGTCAAGGATCCGATAAAGTGAATCTGCCTGGGGGACAAGGATATATCAGTTGGATTGCCATTTGCTGCTACAACTGTGTGCAGCCACTGCTGGAGAATTTGATAAAGTAAAATATTTGGTAAAGTCCCAATGTCCCACCCTAGAGGAGGGTCAGTCTTCTAATGTATACAGGTGCAAAGAGTATATTTAGCAGGAACGGAACTTCTTGAGCTAAGAAAAGGGCTAAGTTTACTAAGTTTTAGCGGAATCACAAATGGATTTGGTGCAGTTAGACCAGAGGTTGGTGGGTTATAGAAGGGGAGTGGAGTGGTAAGGGTTCCAAAAGACCCCAACACTAGTCCACAGAGCAGATTGGCTTGCCCAGCAGATTGGATTGGCATGTATTGGTGAATGGACCGGACCAATTACAGATGCACTCTATTCATTCAGATAAAATGGACGTAATAAATTTACAGACTGGCCCGATTCATTCAGAGCTCAGGTTTGGGCAAATAGTTTTACTCATCCTGAAAACAGTATCTTAAAAAGTGGATAGGTTCCCTTTAGATAAGAAAAACACTTTTATATACAGTACATGTGGAATCATACAAACCTGGTTCCTGTCCCTCTGCAATCCTCGTAGTTTTGCATTTCAGGACCCCAGATATATAGCCTGCTGCTTTCTCCTCTTCTCCGCACGCTCCCTTTCCCACCCACTGATAGCCGGAATTGTTCTTCAGTTTCAAGACAAACACATCATTGGAATTCAGCAAAGATGCATCTGCTTCCACCTACAAACAGAGTGTCAGAGGAACATGTTCATGGTCGCGTCTGAAAACTGGAGCACAGAAACCATTCCAAGAGAATCTGTGACTCTTATCAACGAGAAGATAAATAATGAGATATGATAAATATTAGGGATGCACCGATACCAAGTACCATACTCGGTACAAGTACAAGTACAGATACTTTTCCAGTTCCAAGACTAGACTAGAGAAAAATGCAAAAGTGAGGAGGCCGCTGTCATGTGTAAGGAGCACACGGAGCTCCTGGGATTTGTACATCTCTGTTGTAATGTATGATTTATTTTTTTATAAATATATATTAGGGATGCAGCGATACCATTTTTGCATGTACAAGTACTGATACTTGTCCAAGTACTCACAGATACCAATTACTGATACATTTTCATTTATTGTCATGTGACAGTTTTTCTAAAACAATACAGACTAATGATTTCAGGACAGTGGTGGAGCACCAGAGCCAGGTCCCGGCTGCAACCCTGCAACCCTGGTAGTTCTCATGAAAATGCCAAGTATCGGCACTGGTATCTGAACATCCCTGATAGATAGATAGATAGATAGATAGATAGATAGATAGATAGATAGATAGATAGATAGATAGATATAGGATGGATAGATAGATAGATAGATAGATAGATAGATAGATAGCTTGGCTTAATCAGACGGCAGATAAAGAGTCATCAGTGGAAAGATCTCACAGTGGGAGGCCCCAAGAGATATAAGAAATGCAGCAGGTGATAGAACCCACCAAACCCCAACCATAACTGGCTGGTCACACTTCAACACCGACTAGTCACTTGCTTTATTATAATTTGTAGAGTGAAAAGTCTCAGTCGTTGTTACCTCCACAATCCGAGTGATGAAGGAAAAATTCCTGCGGATCTGGAATAGTCGCACGGCGCTCGGAGGTGCCTGTCCGCCCTTACGCGAGGTGCCTTCTTTGTATATAATTAGCGGTTTGTCTTTGAACAAGCAGAGTAAATGTGTCGGCTCCTTCCCCTGAGTCACTCTGACCTGAAAGAGAAATCGCATACACAGTTATCCTTTTCCAAGTCTGAAAACAGAACCTGAATCAGCAGGCTAATCCAAACTGTAACAAATAGTCAATAGGTTATATTCAGCCTGAATAGCGCTGCTACATTGGACTACCGAGGCTGATTAGTAACAAGAGAGAGGGGGAGAGAGATATTTATACAGTATATATATATACACACACACAGTGGTACCTCGGTTCACGAACTTAATTCGTTCCACGATTCTAGTCGCGAAGCGAATCAAACTGTGATCAGACCGCAATCTCAACTAGAGGAAGCCATGACCATGTGTAACATCGGGGAAGATGGCTGCGGTTGTGTTCGTCACCCGATGCGGAGTTAGTGAACGGAAGCAAAATTTCGCCGGACTTCGTGTTCACGAACCGAATTGTTCGCGAACAGAGGCGTTCGTGAATCGAGGTACCACTGTGTATACATATATACACATACTACAATACACACTCCCCAACAATGTTCTGGCTCTTTAAAAACACTCCAAGAATAGAAAAAAAAATCATGTTGATCCTGCGAGAATCCAATGAGCTCCTAACTTCCTGTAGTTGGGTGACAATGCTGATTCAGCTGCATTAAAATCTAAAGCAGTGTTGTCAGCCTTGCCTGATTTCTCCCCTGCTGGACTACAGAACACCCCCCCCCCCCCCAGCCCCCCCCC